CTGCAAACTCCTTGAAATGTGTAGCTGGGTGTATTATTCCTTCTCATATCACCTTCATAGTCCTGGTCACTGAATTATTAAAGGCTTTTCTTCCTCAGGGACCAGTTTGCCATGATCCATGACTTTAAGCTGTTAACTGCAACTATTTTTTCGTTGGTTCTTAGTTCAGCTATCACATAACATTGGTTTTTTTTTTTTTTTTTAAGTTTAGATTGGAATTCCTATGTCATGAGTTTGTAAGATAGGTTTTCTCAATATGTCCACAAAAGGATTCGATGCTGGAAAACTGGAGATACCGTCAGTCAAAGGTAGCTTGTTAAAAATAGTCCTGTTTCTTTCTTCTGATGATAAAATTAATGTATACCCTTTGAAAAATATAGGCAAGCTAGGGAAGAAAATCAAGATGATCCATAATCTCACTAAGAAGTAACTAATCACAATCAATATTTTGGTTTCTCTCTTTTCATTATTCTCCCGTGGGTGGTGACATTTTTTTCACTTGATGTATCATGGATATCTTTCTATGTCAATAAATTAGAGCTCTGTATCATGACTTGTAATAGTCATATTGTATTCCCTTGCATGCATGTACCTTGTTTAATTTTACCCACCCTCATAATGGACATGATTAGCAGTGTTTTGCCGTTAGACACAATGGTATGATGAAAGTCCTATAGATATTTTCCTGAATTTACCCCATTATGTCCAAAGATGAATTTCTGGAAGTGTGATAGGTAGAGCAAAGGGTAAGCACGTATAAAATGTTCGTGTACGTTACCCAAATGCCCCCAGAAGGTTAGTAATGTACATGTTTAGATTCTCACCAACAGTACTCAGCAAGCTTTTCTCTTCCCCTTGCTAGCAAAGCGTCATGGGACTTTAATCTCTGCCAGTCTGATAGCTGTTTTTATATTTTATTAGTCATTTCTATTTCTCATTCTGTTTTTAAATTTGTATTTGTATTTTTTTTTTTTTTTTTTTTGAGTTGGAGTCTCACTCGCTCGCCCAGACTGGAGTGCGGTGGCCGGGAGCGGTGGCCGGCGATCCTTCCGCCTCAGGCTTCCGAGTAGCCAGAATTACAGGCGCGCGCCACCACGCCTGGCTAATATTTTGATTTATTGTAGAGATGAGGTCTCGCCTGCCCGGGCGGGTCTCGAACCCGCAGGTTCAGGCAGTCCACTCACCTCAGCCTCCCAAAGGCGTGGGATTACAGATTGAGCCACCGAGCCTGGCTCTGTTTTTAAATTTGTATTTATTTAATTTCTTTAGAGACAGAGTCTCACTCTGTCACCCAGTCTGGAGTACAGTGATGTGATCACAGCTCACTGCAGCCTCAAACTCCTGGGCTCAAGTGATCCTCCTGCCTCAGTCTCCCAAGTATTTGGAACTGCAGGCTTGTGCCACTGTACCTGGCTAGCTTTTTATTATTAGGACAGGGGTCCCAAATGTGGCCCGGGCTGGTCTCAAACTGGCTTCAAGCTATCCTCCCGCCTCAGCTTGCTGAAATGCTAGGATTATAGGCACAAACCACTGTTTCTGGCCTTATATTTCTTCTTTTGTTAATTTTCAATTATTCTTACCCATATGTCTGTTCCAGTGTTTTTCTTATTTATGTATAAGACATTTTAATATCTAAAGGATATTTACCCTTTGTCATGCATGCTACAAGTACTTTTTCCCAAGCATGTATATTTGAGGAGGTATTTATTTTTTCAGCACACAAAAGTTTTAAAAATATATGTAATGTGTAGACATGTTTTCTTTCATTTATGATTTGAGGAATTTATGTAATTTGTAGAAAGTCTTTACCCATTCTAAGACTATATAAATATTTACCTACATTTTCTTCCTACTTTTTATGGATATTTTAAATATTTAAATCTTTAAGCCATTGGAATTCTAATAAAAGGTATGATGTAGTAATCTCACTATATTAAAACACTAAAGGTAGCTATTTTATCAAACACATTAAAATTCATTTAGATGTCTACGCAATTAAAATACTTTTTTACTTTGTGTAAGCTTTTAGTTTTTTGGGGGGTTTTTTGTTTGTTTGTTTGTTTTTTTGAGTTGGTGTCTCACTCTGTCGCCCAAGCCGGAGTGCAGTGGCATGCTCCGGCCACTGCAGCCTCAACCTTCTGAGCTCAGGCAGTCCTTCCACCTCAATCTTCCAAGTAGTTGGAGCTATAGGCATGTGCTACCATGTGTGGATCATTTTTTGGTTTTATTGTAGAGACGAGGTCTTGTCAAGTTGCTGAGGCTGGTCTCAAATCCCTGGGCTCAGGCAGTCTTCCTGGGACAAATATTATTAGTCCTAAATTTGGAGTATGTGGTACATTGTGCACACCGTATTAAAACTTGAACTAATTTTTTGATTATTATTATAAAAATGTGGAGTACAATTCAGGGTTAGGTTTACAAACGTTGATTATGAGATATCTCATCAAACCTCATTGATGAGATATGCCGCTTCCTCCCCTAGCAGTTTCCCTCAGCTGCCAATACCACCCCCCCACAGTTTCCCACTAGGGATTCCCAGTTTGCCAATTCCTTTCTTATAGTATTATAATAATTGTTCAAGGTCCACTTATGAGTTAAAACAAATGGTACTCTGTTTCTGTGTTAGATCACTGAGTATGAGAGACTCTGAATCCATCCAAGTTGTTGCGAAGTCCATATGTTTGTCCTTCTTTATGGTTGCATAATATTCCATTGTGTATATGTATCACATTTTTTTTATCCAGTCCAGCTTTGACGGGCAGCATGGTTGGTTCCATGTTTTTGCTATTGTGAATAGAGCTGCAACAAACATACGTGTGCAGGTATCTTTTTGTAGAATGATTTGAGTTCCTCTGGGTATATTCCCAATAGAGGAATTGCTGGGTCATATGGAAGGTCCATTTCTAGTTCTTTCAGAAGTCTCCACACTATCTTCCAAAGAGGTTGTACTGGTTTACATTCCCACCAGCAGTGTAGAAGCGCTCCTTTTTCTCCGCATCCTCGCCAGCATCTGTTGTTATTTAAAATTTGAACTAATTAAGATGACTTTTCCCTTTGTCAGGTGGGCATTATTAATACTGTTTACTTGATAATAACTTTGTATGTTTTATCCTCTCTACAGGATTATAAATTCTTTTAGGTCTGGGTCTGAATCTGATTCATCTTTGTGACTCCCATTTAAAGCCACTTGCCAAACAAACTGTGGTTGCTCAGCACTTGTGTGGCAGGAACTGGTCACTGGGGAAACAAGAATTAGAGGCTGTCCTTGCCCTGATGGGGCTTGTCATGTAATGAGAATGTTAACCACAAGAATAATACTATAACCTGCTGCTGTGATAAGTAAATGCCCTGGGGATATGAGAAATCGTGCTTGGTTTGTGTAAGAAGGGATACTTAGGAATGCAGCTGACTCACCGAGAGAGGAATGTGAGAGTTTTCAGTGATCTGCAGCTTGTGTTTAGTATGTTTGGAGTTTAGGGTCATAGAGGGGTCTGTGAGGGGATGAGACGAGAAGGATAGATGGGCATTAGATCATTGCTGTTTGAAGAACTTTCTGCCACAGTGCCTGTGTTACATGCCTGTACTGCCTAAGTAGACTGGAGAGTGGGTGCCTGTCATGTTTGGTAACTGCTAGGGCGCCTGAGGTCATGGAACGAAAAGGGGAAGTAGACGATGAGGTCAGAGCTGTCACAGGTGCCAGATCCCATAGGACTTTGTAGGTCAGAAAAGCCTTTGGAGGGTTTTGAGTACAGGAGGATGTAATTGGGATCTTGGGTAGAGTGGGGTGAATATCAGCTGCAGAGGAAGAATCTGGGCCTGAGGGTGTTGGAGGGAGCGTGGGGTGGAGGAGACTGGGTTGAAGCAGCAGGTACAAGACCAGTTGGGCTGCTATTTTGTTAGAGAAGGCAGGAGATGAGAACCTGACTCCAGGCAAAGGTGTTAAAGAAAAGGGACGGATATAACCTGAGGTTAAAGAAGTAGCAGGAATTTGTGAGAAATTGGGTTTAGATGATAAAGGGGAAGGGTCAGGCATGACTGTCTTGTTTCTGATTCAAGCACTTGTTGGGATCAAGACTGGAACTGCAGGGGCCGGAAGGTTGGGAGAAAAGAGGTAGAGGACTGAATTTTAGAACTGTTTCCCGTGCCTCTCTGCAGCTTTCAGAGATAGCTCGTGGGCGGTTGAAAATGCAAGGCAGAAAAGCCTGGGGTGGAGAAGGAAATTTTTGAGCAACCTGATCCTTAAAGCAGTAATGAGGCTGACCAGAACAGCAGTTATAGTTCGAAAAGTGTGAGCTCCGACAGGGAGAATCCTGGGAGCCGCAGAGCATTTGGGATTGCCAGGGAATGAAGAGACTTGAGGATCCTTAGCAGCTCTTCTACAGCTAAAAAGCTGGCTCAAGGGGAGAGCAGGCCGAAGAGGTCAAGCAGCGTTGTGGGCTGAAAGATAGAGACCGTTGGGCCTTTGGTTAGGGCAGGTCAAAGGAGGCCTGGCTGCAGGCCCCTGTCTTCCAGGCAGTCTGAGGCCTGGGGCTGGAGGAGGAGCAATAATGGTGCAGGAGACAGAGGCCTGAGTAGCAACACAATACCTTGCGTGGTACTTTGTACATAAAAGGGACGTCTAGTAGGCATTTATCAAATGAATGGCTATTTCAAATTCCCATTGAGTTGATAATTCTGCTTACATCCTGCCTCCACCCCAAGTCTTCCCTGTGCCACAAGGTATTTAAGGCCTATCTGATGTCCTGATATTTTGGGGTCACTTGAGACGCTTTCGGTAGAGAGCACTAACTAGTGCCAATGGAACTATCACTTCTTCTGATTTAGGCCTGTATATCTGACTGCATGAAATTAACTTGGAAGTATGCTACTCAAAATAAACCCTCCCAACAGTTTCAGTGCAGGGATTGTATACCCGATTATGTGTGGTTGGATTTAAGCATATACTTGGTAAAGAATGTAGATGTTTTCTTTATGTTGATTTGTGGTCTTTCTCACTTCCTGGAACAGGAGGACTCTGACTCTCTGAGGACCCCAGCATCATTTCTGTAACTGTGTTTGAGAAGGTCTGACTCCCAGAACGCTGCCTGGTCGCAGACCTTCCAGTATGGGGAGGTGAGTGATGGGCCTAATCACTGCAAAACCTGAGATTTGGGTACAGCAAAAATAGGTCTTGAGAGGAAAAAAAAAATCTAAATTCCAAGTGAAAGTATTTGAAGTTGTGCTGTATTTCTATTTAATACTTTTATTCTTCCAGGGCCTAGTGAGACACCTGTTACAGAAATAATGTGAATGCCAGGTGGGTTCCTCAAAGGCTAGTATAGTCTCAGACAAGGCATGCATGTTGGGATTTGCAAGGGGGTTATATTCAGCACAGGATAACTGGAACCTCTGAGGCGTTGGGAAGAGGAGCATAAACACCATGGAGTGGCCTAAGAACCTTCATGAATGGCTGGGCACAGTGGCTAACACTTGTAATCCCAGCACTTTGGGAGGCTGAGGCAGGAGGATTGCTTGAGCCCAGAAGTTCAAGACCAGCCTATGCAACATAGTGTGACTTTGTCACTATAAGTAAATAAATATTAAAAAAGAAAAAAATTACCCAGGCATGGTAGCATTCTCTTATAGTCCCAGCTACTCAGGAGACTGAGGTGGAAGAATCGCCTGAGACCAGGAGGTCAAGGCTGTGGTGAGCTGTGAGGGTGCCTCTGTGCTCCAGCCTGGGTGACTCAAGAAAAAAGTACCTCCATGAATAACCTCCATGAAGACTAGAGACTACAAATAGAAACTTCCATTGGAATAGCAAGATACCTGCTCATCAGTGGAGTATTTTAGTCTGTGAAGCACTCTTCAAGGTGAAAAGTGTAGAAATTAACTGTAAAACATTAAAATTCATCTGAAAGACAGTGAGTTTTGTTTTTTTTTTTAATTCTAATAACAGTTCTAGAATGAACCTGTCATTCCTGGCATAAACTGAGTAGAAAAGTTCCTATTTAATTGCAAAAATGTCTCAGGAATATTTCTAGGCCGGGCACGGTGGCTCATGCCTATAATCCCAGCACTTTGGGAGGCCGAGATGAGAGGATTGCCTGAGCCCACGGGTTCGAGACCAACCTGGGCAACTTGGTGAGACCTCATCTCTACAATAAATCAAAAAATTAGCTGGACATGGTTGTGCACGCCTATAGTCCCAGCTACTTGGAAGGCTGAGGTGGAAGGGTTGCCTGAGCCCAGCAGGTCAAGGCTGTGGTGGCCGTGAGTGTGCCACTGCACTCCAGCCTGGGCAATAGAGTGAGACTTTGACTCAAAAAAAAATTTTTTTTTAAAAGGAATATTTCTAGAAACACAGGATGTATAAAACTAATTTATTGACTTTATTATGGGGAAACTGTTAAAGATACTGTTTTCTCCCACTATTCAGTCAATCATCTGGGAGAAATTTGCCTTGGAGTTCAGTGTTAAGAGATTTAGTCCTCCTGAGTTATTTATATTTCTGATGTAATAGACAATATTTTGGCCACTAGGATGCAGTCACATTTTCCGGCCTCCCTTACAACATGCATTTCTACATACTAAGTTTCCCTTTGGTTTCATTATCCTTAAACCTGATTTTATTATCAATTTATATATTTATCTTATTGAATTTAATTCTCATAAACTGTCTCTAATTTTTTTTAAAACAAAGCAGGGTAAAATAAAAATCTACATCATGCTCTCAAAGAAAGGGGAAAACACAGAAGTGTCATAAACATCAAGACCTAATTCTCACTCCTATGATGTTATAATGATGGGTTCTGTAGCAAGATATGCAGCAAATGTAATGGGTTCTGTAGAATTATGAAAGATGCTGATATACGGATACCCAGAGAGAGGGAAACAGGAGTAGCTCAAGGTGAATATCTTACTGTAGGATTAACTTAGGTGAGCCAAGGCCTCCTTGGAGTAGATGGCTTTAAAATCTGTTTTTTGGAATTTCAGGATTGGCATCTCCTGTCTTTTTCCTGCTTCTTGGCATTTTAGCATCTCTCCAGTGGGGTGTCCTCGAATTCTGAATACAAATTTACGCCAAATTATTGTCATCAGTGTCCTGGCTGCTGCTGTTTCACTTTTATACTTTTCTGTTGTCATAATCCGAAATAAATATGGGAGGCTTTCCAGAGACAAGAAATTTCAAAGGTAAGAGATAAAAAACATTTGTGTTCTAGGTGGGAAGCCATAACTTATCTGTCTTATCTGGTTTGTGCTGCTATAATAGAATACCAGAGAATGGGCAGGTTATAAACAACAGAAATTTATTTCTCACATTTCTGGAGGTTGGGAAGTTCATGATCAGGGTGCCAGCAGACTTTTGTCTAATCACCAGCACTGTAAAACCTGAGATTCCTAGTTCAGAGATGATGCCTTCTGGCTGGGTCCTCACATGATGGAAAGGGGCAAAGAAGCTCTCTGAGGTCTCTGCCCTCACAATCTAATCACCTTCCAGAGATCCCACCTCCTAATAGATTGCATTGGTGATTTGGTTTTGAGCAAATGAATTTTAGGGGAACATAAACATTCAGACCTTCATTTCATTACTTCAAGATATTTGGAGTTAGGTTGGAACTTAAGGAGTGTGCGACTGTAGAAACTAGATTCTGTACTGTATACGCAACATGACATGACAAATTAAACTAAAACTGGTTAACTCCTGACCACCTAATTCATATCATAAGAGGCCTTGGAATAATTTATACATAAGCTTCTCCTCTAATATATTTTAAGCTGATTTTTGAGTTAATGTCAGTAGTTTGAAATTGAGTTTTGCTTTTTGGAACTTGTTTGGAACTCTGTAAAGGAATAATGAGTGTGCATTTGATTTGGATGATCTTTATCACCATCATTTGTTTTGTTTACTCTTCACTCTTTAATCATTTCACAGTTGTAAAAATGTTACAGTGGCGCTGCTGTACAGCTCAGAAATCACTGACTTGGTATTTATTTATTGCATTTTCTTTGCTAGGGTCTAGGTTGACATTCTCTACATAAAAGTTTATTTGTTTTTCTATACAAGGTACTTGGCACGAGTGACTGACATTGAAGCTACCGATACCAATAACCCCAATGTGAACTATGGGATCGTGGTGGACTGTGGTAGCAGTGGGTCTCGAATATTTGTCTATTGCTGGCCGAGGCATAATGGCAATCCACATGATCTGCTGGATATCAGACAAATGAGGGATAAAAACCGAAAGCCAGTGGTAATGAAAATAAAACCCGGTATGTAGACGAGAGTATCAGACCGGTAACTAGACTCTGTCCTTTCATTCTCTGTGCTGTCTTCCACATCGTTCTCTTTCTCTCCACACCATCATCACCCTACTTCAAGGCTCACGCCAGGACCTGATGGTTCTCCTTATTTCACTTTCCCTTTTCTCTCCCTTTTGCATAGGATGACTAACACATTGGTAAAAAGCATGTCTGTTTGTCTGCTATAGCATTTAAAACAGTTCTATACTCATGATGTCTACTCAAACATTTGCTGGTTGACATTATTATGGAGAGTTTTTTTCCTACTTGATAGCCATTGGTGTCTATCCCTAATGACAAGGTAATTTCAGATAATTCATGAAAATCTATACCTTAATATATTGATAGATATTTGTCATTTTTTAAAACTGCTGCCCAAATATATTTTAGACATCTAATTAAAACATAAAACTGGGCACCATTTCCATTTGCTGCCCAAATATATTTTAATCACTTAATTATTTATTAAGGGTGACCATAGAACTTAAAGCTAATCTAATTATGTCCAGTTTTTAAAGATACTACAATTTCTAAGCCAATTGACATGTAAAAATTGAGATTTGGCTTCCCCATTGAGATAATTTAAATTAGTAGTTCTCACCAAGTATGGAGGCTCATGCCCGTAATCTCAGCACTTTGGGAGGCTGAGGCGAGAGGATTACCTGAGCCCAGGAGTTCAAAACCAGCCTGGGCAACACGGCGAGACCTTGTCAGTACAATAAATAAAAAAAATTAGCTCGGCATGGTGACATGCACCTGTAGTCCCAGCTACTTGGAAGGCTGAAGAGGAAGGATCACCTGAGCCCAGCAGATTGAGGCTGCCAGTGCTGTGATCATGTCACTGTACTCTTGCCTGGGTGACAGAGTGAGACTCTGACTAAAAAACAAAAAAAGATTCTTGACCTTTTTCTGTATGTTCACAATTTCCATAGGCCGCACCTTCTGTCAGGAGTGTTAGGAACGGGAGGCAGCAGGAGGACCTTTGATGCAAGCTTTTTATGTCTTGATCGTTGGTCACCACTGATCTCCAACAGTAGACCATAGCTCTTAGTAGAGATGCAGCACTTTTATTTCATTTTACTAATATAGTAAACAGTAACATTTTAAATCCAAATAATCCAAGAACTTATCTTTAAAAATATTAGAGAATATTGGTAAATAATCATAATCACAACTTATTATACTCCATCTCAGAAATATAACTAAAAGGAATATTCATTTTAACATGATAAAGTACACATTCTCAAAAGCAGTTCCTAACTGACTACAGAGGCTGTAGACCCCTTGAGTCTTCATTCCTCACTGACTAATTCAGACCCCATCTCCTTTTTCAGGCAACCCTTAACAAGATGATTATTTTTTGGTGTTTGTGCAGCTGGATCTCAACATTCAAAATCTCTAATTCATTTTTTAGATCAGAGAGAGAAACTAATCTGAGTCTATATACAAGCATTATTGTGTTATTAGAGTACATTTCCATGAACAAAGATTACTCTTTCTTTAAACCTTAGTGAATGCCTTTTAAGTTTTGGTTTTCTATTTTCCTGCCCATTACATTTTTATGTATCCCTAATCTAGAAACATTTGCAGGGTTAAAGTAATATTGATCAAATAAAAAATTCATGAGAAGACTAAAAGTAAAAGAATAGAACCTAGCTTCACATTTCACCTAGCTTCACATACCAGGTTCTTCTCAGTAATTAAATTGGTCCCATGGAATAAGATGAAAACTTTCATGCCTTGGAGTTATCCTTTTAGAACAAAGGAGCAACTCCAACATCATTCCAGGTTATACACTAGAATCTCATGAAAACGGTTCTCTGTCACTCTATACAAAGTGTTTGAAATGGATATCAGAATATCTTTTTATACCACTTCTCTGTCCTAAAGCCTGAACTCCCATGTATAGCATAGAGCAAGGCTCTAGAAATTTTCTTAATAGATTCTAGCTAGTTTAGGGCTGGGTGTCTGTTGTAATAGCATTGTATGTAGAGTCAAAAGACTCTAGTCCAGTTTCTGCTGACTCCTTTGATAAATTGCCTAATTTTTCTGGGCTCACAATTTTCTAATCAGTAAAATAGGGTATTTTTAGACTTCTAAAATGCCCTTTTTTTTTTTTTTTTTTTTGAGTCAGAGTCTCACTCTGTCGCCTAGGCTGGAGTGCAGTGGCATGCTCACAGCCACCACAGCCTCAACCTGCTGGGCTTAGGCAATCCTTCCACCTCAGCCTTCCAAGTAGCTGGAACCACAGGCATGCGCCACCACACCCTGATGATTTTTTGATTTATTGTAGAGATGAGGTCTCATCAAGTTACCCAGGCTGGTCTTAAACCCTTGGACTCGGGCAATCCTCTCACCTCGGCCTCCCAAAGTGCTGGGATTACAGGTGTGAGCCACCACACCCGGCCCCTTCATTTTTAATATTGTCAGCTGAAGCTAAATAACAGCTGGAAATATTCGTTCATTTATGTACTCATTCCACAAATATGTGCTGAACGCCTGCTATTTGCTAGGCACTTTGTTAGGTGCTAGGAATACAAATTTGAACAAGATACATTTTGTGCCCTTGACTGAGTAGTAATGAGACAGGCAAGTAAATAGGTAACTGTGGTATGCTGTAATCAGTATATAGCTAGCAGTAGGGGTAAGCATGAAATGTAATGAGAGCTTATCTTCGGGGTTCTGTTAGAGAAGGCTTCCATGGAGGAGAGCTGAATGTGTGTACAGCAGTTAGCCAGGTGAAGGCGGTAGGCAGAGAAGGCCCTTCCTGGTAGAGGTGCAAAGGCTGCAAGGCCACAGTATAGTGCCCCATAGAAGTGTCAGTTCAGGGTAGCTCAAGGCGAATGGAAGGATATGGGATGAGATAAGGAAGGGCAAGTATACAGAGCAGGGAATGCCGTTTTAGAGCTGAGCTTTATCTGGAGAGCATGAGGAGCTACAAAAGGATTTGAAGCAGGAAGAGGCATCGTTCAGGGAGAGAATGGTCAAGACTGGAGGCTAGTGTGCACTGCAACAGGCTGGCAGAGGGGGTGAGGTCTGAAAGGGAAAGATAACTGAACTGATGAGAGAGGAACCAAGGAGAGGCAATCTCTGAAACGCAGGATGCATGTTGGGTGAAGGAGAAGGATTTTCTCTAGGATCCTGGGTTGGGCAGCTGGGTATCTAGTGCTGGTGGTCACCGAGGGAGGTAAGAAGCAGAGCAGATCTATAGTGAAAGTTGAGATTTAAACAGGCTGTGTTTGAGGGGGCCCAGGGCCTTGTCCAGTGGACAGTGACTCCACACTGACCTGACAGCTGGGGAGAGAGCTTTGCGTGTCTGGTGGTCATCTGGAGCTCCATGGCCTGTTGGTGGTGATGGGTGCCTTGGGAGTTAAGTAAGCTCACCTGAGGAAGGGGCACATGGGTCTTGAGGGCAGGTGTGATTCCTTGTGCGAGGCACTGCCACATAGATGCATGCTCAGCTAGTCTGTGTGCATTGATGACTGAGAAGATGAGGACATAGCACTGAATTTTTAGTGCCACCAACATTTGAGGAAGAGAGGCTGTCAAAGTAGTTGCTAGAGGGATAGGGAAAACTAGGAAAGTGCAGTGTATAGCTTGAATTTCTCTAAAATTAGCTGCACTGATAAACATAACATGTTAGCTAAAATATCTGCTTCTTAACAGAAGTGTCCTGTTTCTCTAGGCATTTCAGAATTTGCTACCTCTCCAGAGAAAGTCAGTGATTACATTTCTCCGCTTTTGAACTTTGCTGCCGAGCACGTGCCACGGGCAAAACACAAAGAGACACCTCTCTATATTCTCTGCACAGCTGGAATGAGAATCCTTCCTGAAAGGTGATCCTTTGCCTGGGAGCAAGGGCAAGGGTGAGGGTGGGCTTATGCTGGGGGGGGGGTGTTCTCCCCCAGCAGCAGCATCAAAAGGAAGACATTCAAAATACTTTCCTCAAATCTAGAATAGTACCAGAACTCTTTCCTTAGCCAGAACTCACCAGCTATCTTAATTTACTTGTTTATGACTATAAATAGTAAACTTTAAAGTTGTCTTTTTTAAAAACAAATCTATTTTTTTTTTATGTACAGAACGCTTGCAGTTGTAGTTTTACATCTGGAAATCATGTAATTCACACAAGTTATTCATTTTGAAAAATCTTTTCTGCAACATCTTTTGAATGAATTGCTTTGGTTTTAAAATTAACTTTTAGGCCAGGCTCAGTGACTCAGCCTGTAATCCCAGCACTTTGGGAAGCCGAGGCAAGTGGATTGCCTGAGCCCGCGGGTTCGAGACCCACCCGGGCAACTTGGCGAGAGCTCGTCTCTACAATAAAATAATACTTATTCGGGCGTGTTAGCATATGCCTCTAGTTCCGGCTACTTGGAAGGCTGAGGCGGAAGGATCACCGGAGCCCAGCAGGTCAAGGCTGCGGTGGCCAGGAGTGTGCCACTGCACTTTAGTCTGGGCGACAGAGTGAGACTCCAACTCAAAAAAAAAAAAATTAACTTTTATATAAGATATACCAGAGCTATGGGGTTTTTTTTTCCCCTTTTCAAAACAGAAAAATCCAAGCTTTAATATCTGGTGTGTAAATATGTGGGTTGCCTTACAGCCAGCAGAAGGCCATTCTGGAGGACCTTCTAACCGATATCCCTGTGCACTTTGACTTTCTGTTTTCTGACTCTCATGCAGAAGTGATTTCAGGGAAACAAGAAGGTGAGTATATTGGTCTTCAGCTTAAAATTTGAGGAGCTATTCCTCTAAATCATCTCTATTTTCCCCAGTATACACTTTATTAAATTACTCCTAATATCTTAGAATTTGGCAAATTATAACCTTGAAATATTAATATTATGATTTTTAAATGACTAAATTAGTTTCTTTCCTGACTGATCTTTATCACCTAAAAATTAAGTTTGTCTTTACCACATTTAGAGAACATAGTTGGATAAAAACTTATTTTGATGGAAAAAATGTGTGTTTCTTGCCTAAGTTATATGGCTTCCTGGAATTATAATAATTGAGCTATTGGAATCTCTGATTTACTTGCTAAAAAGGGGAAATTCTTCTAGACTTTGATACACTGAGAAGATCTGAGTTCTGTTTTCAAATAAATGATCCTACTTGAGAATCAATGACAAGTCAGTGAAATTATTGGGGGATAGTTGCTAGAAATGGAGACTAGGAGGTATTTATTTCAAAGTCATCTGTCATTTCAGTAAATTCTTCCTATGTTAGAAGCACTGGAGGGAATACAAAATTGGGTGAAATCCACATACAGCCATTGAGCTGCTTATAGACAAGTGAGGTATATAGTTAGCTGCTATACAAGGTAGCTTCAGGTGCCAGAGGAAAGTTAAGGAAGAAATATCACAGGAGTTCAAAAGAGGGAGGTATCTTTTTTCCTAGCCAGGGCCATCATAGAGAAAGTGACATTTGAACTGTGCCTTAAGGAATAGTTCTAAAGAGAACATGCTAGAGTATGGCAAAGGCAGAGCTCTGAGGGAGGGTTATGAACATATTCTAGGCAGGAGAAAGAATTTGAGTCAATACAGGTTGAAAAGGATGTAGTATAGACAGGAACAAAAAATGTTTTTGTTTGACCATATGATGGCCCTTTTGAAAGGTGCTGGTAATGTTAAAAGTTGGGCGGGTCTTGGATTATTGATCCAGGAGTTTGGGCTGTGTTCTGTAGATCAGTCCAATAGCAGATAGAGTGGGTTGCAGCAGAGAAGTAGGGGCAGGAGAATTATTAGCTGGGTCCCTCACTGCTCCCCGTAATGACTGACATCAAGGTAACAATGGAAATGGGTAACGATTAGATGTAGGAAATATGAAAATAGATGCCGAAACGGCGCCTGAGTGAGTGGGAAGGATGAAGGACAGAGAAGGGTAGAAGATAACGTGAATTTTAAAAATCTTGTCATTGGTAGGTTTAACTTCATAAAAAGTCAAAACACTAGTATGTTGAAACAACCCTTAAATTTCAAAGGAGAACTAGCACCTTGGAAATTATATTCTCAACTTATGTAAAAGATATAAAACTATAAATATTAAAGTTGAGAGTTCTTGGTACACCATTAGGAAAAGAGAAAAACATCAGTAGAAATGTGTTATTTCAGATTATGTTTCCATAGGATAGTAAAATAAATGAGATATTTGCACAGACTGCATTGATAAGACTTATACAAAATGTTTTAAAACTTTATTCTTCTCTTCATCCTATGAAATGTCTGTAGGTGTGTATGCTTGGATTGGCATTAACTTTGTCCTCGGACGATTCGAGCATATTGAGGATGGTAAGTGTCATGTTTCCAACTCATGTGTCTAACTAGAAATTGAGGGCTTTCTATTTAACCCAAAGTCTGAGGAAGGAGCTACCTTTTGTGACGCTGCTAAGTGTGTAGGAGTAGGGTGAGGGGAGCTGCCATTGAACACAACTAAACTTGATTCCGGTTGGGAGGAGTAGACTGGGTTTGCCTAAATGTGCTTGAAATGCACCAAGGAAACAAGGTGACTTCGGCAGAGCCCCGTTCCCCAGATGCGTTCTGCTCAGTGAGCGTTCCCTGTGCTTTCCAGATGATGAGGCCGTTGTGGAAGTGAACATTCCTGGAAGTGAAAGCAGCGAAGCCATTGTCCGTAAGAGGACAGCGGGCATTCTCGACATGGGCGGCGTGTCCACTCAGATAGCATATGAAGTCCCCAAAACTGTAAGCTTTGCCTCCTCACAGCAGGTCATTATCTGTACCGATTTCCTTCTGTTTGGTTTGGTTTTCATTTAACATGTCTCCATCCGTTTTTGTTTTGTTTTCTGAGTCTGAACACATCCTTCCTGTGCTTGCTGGGGTGCCACCTCTCAGCCAGGAGCCAGGAGACAGAGGAGCCAGGCAGACCTCGGCTGAGCCACTTGTGTTTGTTCATTGAGATCAGCTGGTTTGTTTTTGGAACTTAGAGTTTTTCTTTGGTATATATGTAGTCGCATGCTTGAGTTTCTGTTTATATTTTCTCCACAGGGTTCATAAAATGTAATTTGATAGCATCAGGTTTTTAAAGTTATAATTGGGGGCAGTTCTTAAAAATGTCTCTGACAGCTTTTGACCCTTTCCAGGAAGGACTGAGGTTTGTATCCACTGCTTCCACATTTCTGAACCTGTGATTTGCTTTATCTTTGCTCCACACCACACACACTGAGAGTTCGGTGCTTTGTGAGTGGCTGCCTGGACAGCCTTGTCTAGAGATCTCCAACCTGGCTTCCAGATGTGTTTATTGCTACATGTCTTTAATGCTGCTACTGTTCAACTGTCAATTAACACCAAAACCTGGCTTCCTGCATTTTCCCCTAGAAGGTGGGGAGGCAGCATAGTGAGCTGGTTAAAGTGAGAATGTGGAGCTGGACAGGCCTGGGTTGCTTCATCTTCCTACTCCTCACTAGCTGTGGGGCCTTATGCGAGTCACAAAGCTGCACTGAGCCAGTTTCTTCATCTATGAGTGTGAATGAGAATACCTACAGCTTGGGCTGTTATGAGGTTTAAATGAGATCATGCATATTCTGTATCTAATGTACTGACTACCTAGTATGTGCTCAATAAATGTGATTGGTATCTTTATTAAGCTCTTTGGGGAAATGTTTTATAAATTCAAGTATTATAATTTGTGTTTTCTGCTTCCCATTCCAGACATGCCTCTAGAAACTATCATACTCTCTATAAAAAATCATATTCCCCTCCCTTAATAAAGAAAAAAAAGTTGGGGAAAAATTCTGAACAAGTAAGATTAAAAATTTCCCATGGACTCATTTTCCAAAACTATTGTTAACATTTTGGTGACTTATTTTTTATGTATAGTTTTTAAAAAATATGGTTGTTAAAATCTTACTTGGTTCATATGATTTTGTGTCCTTTATTTAACAGTGTGTGAACATGTTCCTTCTTTTTTTTTTTTTGAGTTGGAGTCTCATTCTGTCGCCCAGACTGGAGTGCAGTGGCCGCTTCCGGCCACCGCAGCCTCGACCTGCTGGGCTCTGGCGATCCTTCCGCCTCAGCTTTCCAAGTAGCTGGAATTACAGGCACGCGCTACCACGCCCGGCTGATTTTTTTGATTTATTGTAGAGATGAGGTCTCGCTGCCCAGGCGGGTCTCAAACCTGCGGGCTCAGGCAATCCACTTACCTCAGCCTCCCGAAGGCGTAGGATTACAGGCTGAGCCACCGAGCCCAGCTAACATGTTCCTTCTTAAACTATTTGATTCCTGACTTAATCTTTCCTTGGTATTGTATATTTAGATAACATCCAGTTTTTTCTGTTATAGAATTACAAAGGATGTCTTTGGGTATAGAAACGTTTCTGTGTTTGGATTTATTTCCACAGTAGGGTTCCGTAAATGATTTATCAGTCAGAGGGTATGAACTATATTGCTGACTTCCTCTTTCAGAAAGTTGTAACAAAATCACAAATCTGTAGCCCATCTGAAATTTTCTGTGTCAGAATTGTCATATTGAACTGTGAGGAATGCTTGGAGGGATCCTTGAGAAATGCAGAAGCAAACTTTTTTGTCCCTTTTAGAGGAGACGTTTTTTAGATCCTTCTTTTAAACACGAGGTTAAAGTTTCTTAAAATATTAAAGTTTTTTATCCTTATGTCTGCAGGAGGAAGTAGCTAAAAACTTGTTAGCCGAATTTAACTTAGGATGTGATGTTCACCAAACTGAGCACGTGTACCGAGTCTACGTGGCCACATTTCTTGGGTTTGGTGGCAATGCCGCTCGACAGAGATATGAAGACAGAATATTTGCCAACACAGTTCAAAAGAACAGGTACAGCACTTTCGCCACCTGGCAATCACTTGTAAACCTAGATCTCACTTCTTAAAGAACAGATCCAGGCAAAACGGGGAGAAATCAATCAGCAAAAGCGTGCCACACTGTCAGCTTCGTATTCCCCGTTAGCACAGCAGGTGGAGGAATGAGAACACACCAGGGTCCTGTTCCAGCCCTCTGTCCCGCCAGGCTCCAGAAGAACCTTGCTCTCACTCTCTCACTCAGACCTGCATCTTGCCTGTGGATTAGAAATTGCACCATCAGGCTGTAGAATAATTTTGAGCCTTGGGCAGTGCTCTTCATGATTGCAGAGCCGTGGGGAACCTCAGAACCTGTGGCACTGCTGATGACCTGGACACCTGCAGGTAGTGTGCGCTCTTGTCACTGCTGAGATGATTGAAATGCGTGACATTCTGGAGACTGGGTAGCCAGCCTGTGCCACCATTTAGTAGATAAAAACCATCGTGGAGGGAGGTGTTCAAGGGAAAGAAATGATTTAGAAGTCAGAGTTTGTAGTTTTTAAACATTTTAGCATTGAAACTTTTATTAAAAAAGCAATGTGTGTGAATTCTGTTATAAAAATAAATAAAACAAAAGCAGCACTGATTTTATCAGTTTAAGTTTTCTAAGTGTAAGTAAATAGCAATTATTTATTTGAAATTAGTCCATACGAACAGAAAGCTGTGTGGATAAATTTAAAAATCTGAATCTGGGCTATGTAAAATATCCTATTCATTACTGTGTTTTTTTTTGTTTGTTTGTTTTGATGAAGAAATTTTGAGGGGGATAAGGCCTAATTTATAGTGCTAAGTAAGCTAAGCAATAGTATACTTCTTTGATCAATTTAATCTTTTTTTTAATTTTTATGTTTTGAGTTGGAGTCTCACTCTGTCACCCAGACTGGAGTGCAGTGGCCACTTCCGGCCACTGCATCCTCGACTTGCTGGGCTCTGGCAATCCTTCCACCTCAACCTTCCAAGTAGCCAGAACTACAGGTGCGCTGCCGGGCCCAGCTAGTTTTTTATTTATTGTAGAGACAAGGTCTCGCCAAGTTGCCTGGGTGGGTCTCAAACCTGCAGGCTCAGGCAGATCAATTTAATATTAATAAGCATTGAAGGCCTGAACTTTAAAAAAGACCAATTCAGAGCTATTCAGTTTCACATTACCAGAAATTCAGGTATGTAAATAGGAAAAGTAGTAAAAACCTTTTTCTATGCCTGTTCCAAAAGTTAATTGAACAGTGTTAATTATGAAAATGATAGACCCATGGTTTTTTTTTAAAAATGTTAGCTGATATCTAGCACATTTTGATATAATTATTTTTTTGTAATACTCTTTAAATAGAAATATTTTATAGACCGTGCATGGTGGCTCATGCCTTTAATCCCAGCACTTTGGGAGGCTGAGGTGAGAGGACTGTCTGAGTCCACAGGTTTGACACCAACCTAGGCAACTTGGCGAGACCTCATCTCTACAATAAATCAAAAAATTAGCCAGGCGTGATGGCGCATACCTGTAGTTCTAGCTACTTGGAAGACTGAGCTAGAAGGGTCACCTGAGCCCAGCAGGTCGAGGCTGCGGTGGCCATGAGCATGCCACTGTACTCCAGCTTGGGTGACAGAGTGAGACTCTAACTCAAAAAAAAAAGAAAGAAAAATATTTTATAAAAGATATTTGAATCATATTTTTTATATTCACTTAATACCTTCTTCCAAAGCTCTAATTTTCACTAATTAGTTTTAATGTAAAAAACCAATGTACAAAAAAACTATGTATAATGGACCATTCAGTGGTACCTCTTAGTTTAGATGTAGGTCAACTAAAGATAGTAGCATGGGGTATATATTTAACTACTCTTGGACTTTTATAATCATAAGTGTTTCATATGTCACGAATTTACCTTTGAAATGTGCATTTATCTCTTTGCTATTCATAGTGGTGTTTTTAAAAATTAAACATTTTGGCCAGGCTTGGTGGCTCAGCCTGTAATCCCAGCACTTTGGGAGACTGAGGCAAGTGGATTGCCTGAGCCCACGGGTTCAAGACCAGCCTGGGCAACTTGGCAAGACCTCGTCGCTACAGTAAATTAAAAATTAGCTGGGCATGGTAGCGCATGTCTATAGCTCCAGTTACTTGGAAGACTAAGGTGGAAGGATCACCAGAGCCCAGCAGGTCGATGCTGGGGTGGCTGTGAGTGTGCCACAGCACTCCAGCCAGGGCGACAGAGTGAGACTCCTTCTCCAAAGAAATAAAATTCAACTTTTTTACGACAAAGACCTTAATGTGTTACATTCAAGTACATGATGAATAGCCCTGATCTGAGGTATATGCAACTTATCAGGTGAGTGGAAAGAAAAAACTTGACTCTGACAGTTAAACACCCGTCAGACCAATGTGATTTCAGTATATTCGACATCAACTCAGTAGGATGACAGATGTTAATTCCCAGAAATTTCACTGGGAAATCATAAGCCCAGAGCCTTTCAGTTAGCACCATTAACGTTTTTTTCCTACTTCTCAGACCCTATAGTACAATGGAAACTTCCATCTTGCAGTTAGGGCCAATATTTTAAAAAAATAAGTTGAAGCCAGGCGCCATGACTCATACCTATAATGCCAGCACTTTGAAAGGCTGAGGCTGGAGAATTGCTTGAGGCCAGGAGTTCAAGACTAGCCTAAGCAATATAGTGAGACTTTGTCTTTACAAAAAAAAAAAATTAGCCAGGTGTGCTGACATGCGCCTGTCATCCCAGCTACTTGGGAGGCTAATGCAGAAGGATAGCCTGAGCCTAGGAGATCAAGGCTGTAGTGAGCTGTGATCATGCCAGTGTAATCTAGCCTGGGCAACAGAGTGAGATGCCGACTCAAAAAAAAAAAAAAAAAAAAAATAGAAACAGAATTGTAAAAATAGACTCAGGCCTTGAATGTTCTATTGTAACTTTTGTGTTCATTTGCTGATCTTTTGCTCTGTACCAAGTTCTCTTTTTAGACTGCATTTCTCTGCCATATACTGTCAGTTTGGCTTTCTTTAGAGAATACTGAGGGCTTGAAGACATTTGGGAAGCAATTTGCTACCAAATCCTTGTAGACTTTTATTATTTTCTCCAGTTTTAAAAATCTTTCCCACACCTAGTTTGACAACAGTTTTCTAGCAACTTGTCCTTATCATGGTTTTTTAAAACATCTAACCTGGTTTTCTCAGGACCAGTTACTTCATTTCCCAGTCACATTTCATACATCTGTATATGTTGGTAAAACCACAAGACTAGTGACAGAATTGGGCTAGAAGCAATACAGCTGCTGAGTACTCGGCGGCTGGGAGTGCCAGGCTGCATTGCAGGGAATGAAAAGTGTCAGGTAATAGACACATCGTTGAGCTGGACTGGTAACCTGCTCACTGTACACAGTTGCATATTGAGTCTCCAGAAAGGACTCCAGTGTATTAATTCTCCCAGAAGCCTTTTGTGCTCATGCAGACACAGTCCTGTAGGACTAGTGTCCCACAGAACATGTTTTGAGAAGTGGGCTTGCAGCCACTTGTTCGAAACAGTTTCTGTAGGACTCGTGATAAGGTTTCTCTTTGTGCTGCAGGCTCCTGGGTAAACAGACTGGCCTGACTCCTGATGCTCCATACCTGGACCCCTGCCTCCCTCTAGACATTAAGGATGAAATCCAGCAAAATGGACAGACCATCTACCTACGAGGAACTGGAGACTTCGACCTGTGTCGAGAGACTATCCAGCCTTTCATGAATAAAACAAACGAGACACAGACTTCCCTTAACGGGATCTACCAGCCCCCAATTCACTTCCAGAACAGTGAATTCTATGGCTTTTCTGAATTCTACTACTGCACCGAGGATGTGTTGCGAATGGGGGGAGACTACAATGCTGCTAAATTTACTAAAGCTGCAAAGGTAACTTTCAAAGACGCCATCCATCTGCTCATGCATGCTTTTGAGAGACCAGTGTGGACAGTGGCAAGTTATGCCCTTTCTTCACATTCACAGTCATGGGTGGAGTATGGAAGGTTGTAGCATCTTGAGAATCCTGTTCCCTGTGACTGGGGGAGGCTCACTAGTCACAGCGGAAGGAAAAATGTCCTGTAGCCGACTTCTGCCCACCACTCCATTAGATACTCTGGTCACCAGTACCTCCAAATTATAGTCCCTCGTGTCACTGTTCTGTTCTGCTGCATCTGACAACACTCCTGCTGGCCTTCCCACACCCTTAGCTGCCAGGACTCTCTTGCTCTCTTGTCCTCCCTGCCTTCCTGATGCCTTTAAACATTGGTGGTGCCTGACTTCCAGATTCTTGGATGGTCGTATCCATGTTCATGGTTTGTTTCAGCCTCTCAAGAAGAAGCTCCAGTCCTGACCTCTACCCAGTTGCCCAATAGATTCCACAACTCCAAACAAACCCACCGTTTTCTCCTCATTCCTCATTCCCTTCCTGTGCTATCTTGGTTAATGGCGTTACCAACGATTCCCCACCCTGAAACCTAGGAGTTGCAGACTTCTCCCTCTCACTCATTCATCCATCCCTGTACACCCCCATAGTCAATCACCAAGTGTGATATTACTTTTCAGGTCTGTTTCAAAGTCTAGATTACTTTACATTCTAATCATGTCAAGCCGTTTATATCCGTCACACTCTGCTACTTCTCATCTGTGTCTTTCTGCGTGGACTTCCTCTTCCTAAAATGTCTATGCTGACCCCTCACCCCAGGCTGAGAGCTGTTCCCCGTGTTCCCTGTTGCACATCCAGACATGTCTCCCACCTCTCTGAACCTCAATTTATTTTTCCTTTAAATAAAGGTCAAGATAGTAGTCATGTCGAGGAGTTAAGTCATAGATTCAGGGGAAGCACGTATGCAGTGCTCAGTAATGTTAATTGTTAATGTTATTGCGAATAGCTTCAGGAAGAACTAGGCTCTCTTTCCCTTCTCTTAAAGGCAAAGCCTTTTGTAAGCATCATTGTCTTCGCACACACATAGGCACTTAGTTTGAACTAGCTAAACTACTGCTTCACTTTTCCAAAGTCTGTACCTGTAACATGCAGTTAGTCATGGGGGGAGAAACAACAGTTCTGAAGAGGTTGGTTGTGGGCAGTGGAATTCTCTTTACCAAAAGCCTTGGCAGAATTTTAAGGTAAGGAACAAGCATTGTGTTTGCTAATTAGCAAGTATTCACCGAGTGTATTCATTGTGCAAGTGAAGCTTGTGTGTTGCCTAACTGGAAGGATATGCTTGTTATGAATATGGATTTGGTAAGCCATTTTAAAAATAAAAATGTTCTAATAAGCCTTTACTAATGATTTATTTTGGATGAAATTTCTTTCAGGATTATTGTGCAACAAAATGGTCGATCTTGCGGGAGCGCTTTGACCGAGGACTGTATGCCTCTCATGCTGACCTCCATAGGCTTAAGTAAGTTCCAGAAGGTCAAATTCCAGGTGTTTTTAAGAAATCATTAAGTCGGTGGTGGCCCCACTCGCTTGCCATGCCCTGGGCTCTGTCTCTCCTCTTATGATCCTCACTGTTGCTTCTCATCCACCCTGGGCTCCTTTCAAATGGGACAAATAGTTGTGCTGAGACATATCCTATTTTTTTAAATCACTTTTATTGTCCCTTCCCCCTGAAACTCCCCTGCCATAACTTTGTTTGTTCGGGTCCTGCTGAGATATCAGGCCAGAGATTGTTCCTTTTCAGTCTTCTGCCCATTCAGCTAGACTCCATCCCTCTCTCTCTGAGCCTTTATATTCTGTTTTGTTTTATAGTTATTTGTTGCTTTTTTTTTTTTAAGTTGGAGTCTCACTCTGTCACCCAGGCTGGAGTGCAGTGGCACACTCACAGCCACCCCAGCGTCGATCTGCTGTGCTCCCATTGATCCTTCTGCCTCAGCCTTCCAAGTAGCCAGAACTACAGGCAAGCACTAACATGCCTGGCTAATTTTTTTTTTATTTACTGTAGAGAGAGGTCTCGCCAAGTTGCCAGGGCTGGTCTCGAACCCACAGGCTCAGGCCATCCATTCGCCTCAGCCTCCCAAAGTGCTGGGATTACAGGCTGAGCCACTGAGCTCAGCCTGTTCCTTTTTAAAAATTCCCTTTCATTATAAGTCATGTGCAGAGATTGTATCTTACTAATGATTGTATCTTATTACTTGCTCAGCACAGTGCTTTACAAAAAACGAGCCTCTAATACATATGTAAAATCATAGAATATCGGTGCTGAAAAGGACATTTCTACCATTTCATTTTATAATAAAGAAACTGAGGTGCAGAGAGGTTGAAACTTGCACCGTACTTAGTCAATAATAAATGATGGAATGCCTGAGGGGAAATCTGTCATGGTATTGATTTATACCAAGATCAAGTTCCAGGAACTGATTGGTTCTGACAGGTGAACTGTTGCATGTTGTGGGACAGGGGGCATAGGCCAAGTAAATCGACTTGGAACCCATACAGTGGATTTGGCCGCTCAGGAGCCAGCCCACGGAAGCCTCTGCTTCCTGCGGGTCTTGGGGGGGACGACTGTCTCTGTGTATGGTGCCGTTTTATGAGTGAAGCAATCTGACTTGTGTTTGGTATTGTAGGTATCAGTGTTTCAAGTCTGCCTGGATGTTTGAGGTGTTTCATAGGGGCTTTTCGTTTCCTGTCAACTACAAAAGCTTAAAGACTGCCTTGCAAGTTTATGACAAGGAGGTGCAGTGGACCCTGGGAGCAATCCTTTACAGGACCCGCTTTCTACCCTTAAGGTAAGACTGCAGATTTAGTAATAAGAGTCAAAAAACTGCTTTTCTACAGGTAAAATGCCTCATGGCAGTGGTGGCTTGTGGGTGTTGGGGGTATTGCTTTTAGGGCTGGCCGTGGCAGAATTGTGGGATCAGTGACGCTTGCCTTCTGTCCCCCACAACTCCCCACAAGTGCCACCACCTGTGCCCCTGCTCATCCCGTAACACACAGCAGTTCTGTGCTCCTGCCCTGTCTTAGATTATTCTCAACTGTCTGTTCCCTGACCTCTGCAAAAAAGTCCGTTCAGGCTTTGGCCCCTTCTCAAAATACCGTGTTTAAATGCCTAAGGTAAATACATAGGATTACAAAGGAAACACTTGTATTAAGGTACATTTAGCAAAATACTACAGAAAACAAATTTGTGATATAGTTATATATGTGCTTTATTAACATATTAAATCACGAGATCTGGCAGCAGGACTAGTACTTGTATAATTTCAAGGTCGTGATGAGTGTACACCATAGCATGATGTGAAAGATCTGTGACTTTCACTGGTAAGAAAGTTGCAGGTGCTGCCAATCCTGCAATAGTTTGTTGCTTATATTCATGACCCAAGGAAATAACTAAATTTCAGACAGAGATTGGTAAAGATGTACATTTTTTCTGACTCACATTTGCAGACCTGCTGTCAGCTGACCTGTGTTAAGAACACTTGTTACCTGATAAATAAGATATTAGCTCAGCTCTTCTCCCATGTAATTGAGCATCTCCCAGCAATACTTTTAGCTGGGTCCGCTGCAAAAATTGTGAGTAGTGGGTATGATGAATCACAGACCTGTGGTTTGATTTCATGTTGACTTTCATATATTAGAGAAACCCTCACAGGTCTTCTAAATTTCTCTGATTTTTGTTACCCAAATTATATCGACAGACTTCAGAGCACACCTCTGCATGTTATCTCATGAGTACTCAAAAGTCCCCCACATTGCTGTCCTCCATTTTCTGAAATGAATTATATAAGGAAATTGAGTCTCAGCCCCTGGGGTCAATGCTCCCACCTGAGGAGCGGGGCCCTGCATTAGGCCTTTCCACTCCAGCCCTGTGTACTGCTTCCACCCACCCCCTCGCTTACCTGTTGGTTTCTGGTCTCCACGTGGGCAGAGACATCCAGCAGGAGGTGTTCCGGGCCAGCCACGCCCACTGGCGGGGCGTCTCCTTTGTCTACAACCACTACCTGTTCTCCGGCTGCTTCCTGGTGGTCCTGCTGGCCATCTTGCTCTACCTGCTGCGGCTCCGACGCATCCATCGGCGAACGCTGCGGAACGGCTCGGCCTCTGCGCTCTGGATGGAGGAAGGCCTGCCCTCCCAGAAGGCTGCAGGGACGTTATGAAGCCAGCTACACAGCTCCAGGAAGACGCTCCAAGGAAAAGCCACTTGCCTCAGGGTTTCTCCTCTTCATTTTCTTCTGGTTTTATTTTCTTTCCCTTTTTTGTTCCTTAAAAGAAAAACAAAACCCACTGTTTGTAAGCCCTGCTGTCCTAGAAGCATTGCATTTAGTCTTTTGAATACAGCTTTAAACTGAGGAGTAGGAAAAAGGGAAAGTCGTTTGATTTTTGCAGCATAGGATGTCTGCCAAAAATTGACAAGACTTTTGGGGTTTTTTACGGTATGTTAAATTTTAAACAAATGCACCTTGATACTGGAGGGACATATGAAAATGCATTCTGTCTGAGGAGATGGGACTGAAGAGTGGCTTTTACAGAACCAAAACCTCACTGCCTGAAATGATGAGCCTCTGTTTTCTCTATCTTGAAAGCTCTAACGTAAAGAGGATGATGTTTAACTTTTATTTATGGTTCAGATCTGTCACTGTATATGTCTTCTTTGCAGGTTTAAAAATGTAAAATCATCTATATCCAAAATAGAGAAATACAGGCACCAGGAGGTAATCATTATAAAATTGATAGTGAAGAGACGTGAGACGTGAAAAATGTGAACTGTTGGCTGGGTGTGTGTGTGTGTGTGTGTGTGTGTGTGTGTGTGTGTGTGTGTGAAAGAGAGAGAGAGAAAGAAAGAAATCTTAATAAACCAGAATGAGGGAAGACAGTACTGGTTCTTTAGAAACACACACTTCAGAATTTACTGGTTCATTTTATTTAGAAAATCCCCATTGCTGTTATGTTTCCTGACCACAGGTAATTATTTTCTTTATCTCATGTTTCAGTAGCCTTAAAACACTTTGTTTTTGAATGAATTAGAAAATTCATAAAGTTTCGCTGGTTTCGGTTATATTAGAACTAGAGCGGGAGCCCTCTTCCAGATACTTCAGAACCTTTCCGTAGTCCAGTTTGCTTGTTTAATTGTGCTCCGGTTTGGTTCTCCTCATTACTGCTGTAGCTGAGGCTGCCGTTGGCATTGCCACTGCAAATCCAGACTAAAGAAAGAGCCTGAATCCAGTACAAGAAATAAACTCATGTTTTAAAGAAAACGCATTTGACATTTTAAGCAAAAACCTAAAAATGAGAACTGGATTGGCACATGTGAGATTGTTTTTCACTTTTCGTTTAGTTTAGACTTGGGATTTCTTTTCTTTCTTTCTTTTTTTTTTTTGTGTTTTGTTTTGAGTGAGAGTCTCTCTCTGTTGCCTAGACTGGAGTACAGTGGCACAGTCATGGCTACTGCAGCCTCGACCTGCTGGGCTCAGGTGATCCTTTTGCCTCAGCCACCCGAGGTAGTGGGCACCACCATGCTCAGCAAGTTTTTTTTAATATATTGTAGAGGCAAGTTCTTGCTGTGTTGCCCAGGCTGGTCTTGAACTCCTGAACTCAGGCAATCCCCTCTCAAAGTGCTGGGATTATAGGTGTGAGCCACCACGCCCGGTGAGAATTCTTATATGTAGGTTATCTTAGGTGAAGTTCTTCTTGTGCAAGTGTCTATGTGTGTACACGTGCTGCTTCCCTGAAGTTCTCTTTGTGCAAGTGTCTATGTGTATACACGTGCTGTTTCCCCACTCCCAAATAGTTCAGTTCATGTAGTTGATAGCAAATTGGTACCATAAGTGGGATTATTGCCGTAACCGATATCTGAGAATGTGGAAGTGGCTTTGGAACTGGGCGAAGGGCAGAGGCTGGAAGAGTTTGGAGGAGCGGGACAGAAAAAGCCCGTATCGCCCTGATCTGAGTGTTCAGAGCAATTCTGGTGAGGGCTCAGAAGAGAAGACTAGGACAGGTCTGCTCTAGCCGTTGCCCAAGCTGCTCCATGTGTGACCTGACCTGCCACTGGGAAGGTACAAGTCATAAACCTTGGTAGCATCCACAGCTGCTCATTCTGTAGGCAAGTGCTGTGGAGCATGGCTCTTAAATGTCATGCCCCCAGCCTGGGGGCCCAGGCAGGGACTTGTGGGGCGAAGTAGCCAAAGCCAGTTCATCTCAGTGCCTTGGAAAGCCACAGGATCTCGTTGTTGTGTAGGTTAATGATTTCCTTTAGAAGGTCCTGCGTGTCTGACTGAATTTGTTGCGTCCTATTGGCATTTCGTGATCGAAGTCCTTAAGAAGGAGGTGAGCTTTTGACTCCATAGTGAGTTGGTTTTGCCCACTGCCTGCGACCTTCCTAGCAGAGCCAAGGCTTCTTGATGGAGGCTGCGGGGACCTGGGGACCTAGCCACTAGGGGTCAGTGGCAGAGATAGGAGGGAAAGTGAGGGGCCACCAAGGGGCAGAGATGACAGAGGGGACCCAAGGGAGTGAGTGGGGGAGCCCCCCTTCCAGATTGGGCACATAGATCTCAAGGCACATACCTGAGGGTCCCGAAACAAGGGCTGAGAAAGGCCTGCTGCTCCAGGTGAGAGGGAGAGATGGGGTTTCCAGTTTTAAAGGATTGTTTAAGAAAAAGAAGTTGAAAAATATGCCACAGACACCATCTGTGGCCTGAAAAGACTAAAATGTTAAGAGAAAAAGTTTGCTGGCCTCTGTAAGAACAATTCAAGAAAGGACAGAGACAGGAGCATCCTCTTAGTTCAGGACTGTAGTTACTATTTGTGGGCACAGAAAGATTGGCAGGAAGAGCAACCAAACTTCAGTCTTAAAACACTTGTTAATGCACCAGAATGTCACTTCTTAATTTTGCTACTAGATTATTTTCAAGATAAGTTTTCTAATCAGAAAACCTAGCCTCCCCCAGTTTTTTTTAAATTGCTGTTCAGGGGAACTCATGACGTTGTGTTGAGATGTCTGCAGTCACAGAAAATCACATTCCAGAGAAGGTGTTGTGGTTTCACACAGCTCAGAACAAACCGCAGGAGAGCAGGCAGCCAAGGGGCTCTCTAAGCGATGCCTGGTGGGCAGGAGTCAAACAAGGGAGGAGACAAATTCCAGAGGGGAAGGACTCACATCAGGATCTGGCCAAGCAGGTAGTAAACTCTGTATGTTGTCATAGAAAGCAAAAGAACTTGGACCAGGAACTTGCTAAAAGCTTTGCCTAAGAAAAACAGTCTATTAAATCTCAGTGGAAACGCGTTGGGTGTTCTATGGTCTTATCATGTGCTTCTCCTTTTAATCCTCCAGGGCATCTTCTCAAAGAGTTCACAATCTCTTTAGGGATATCAGAGTAAAAGACGGATTTGTACCAGTAATTTGTACCCATTTTCACCCCAAACTGCTGGGTTTGGCAGTGCTCCCTGGTGAGGACGCTGCTGGTGGCTGAGGTCAGTGACGCAGGGGCTCTTCCTGGCCACCCAAGGATGAGAAGGTCACTCACCGCCCGTTTCCCACACCTGTGCACTCTAGATTAACAAGCTGTCGATAAACAGATATTCACATTTTAAACTCAGGCCTACACAGAGTAGTTTTCCTTCTAAGGAGCATGTATCACTTAGCAAGAAACTTAAAAAGGCAAATAGGTTTTCCAAGCTTTAAAAACAAATCAGCTTTAGAATTCCGTGTGGTTATGTGCAATGCCGCAAAACTACCTTTAAGTAAATTATTTAGTTATTTATTTCACTGTTTTGTTTCTTATGGTCTTGAGTTTCCCTTTCAATAATGAATGATGTGACCAGCCAAGGAGAATTAATTTGTTCTGTTACTAAAAATACATTTTACAGCTAGGAGTTAAAACTAAGAGAGCATCTTTAAATGTTTTTTAAGGGATGTTTTCCATTCAAAGCGAGACTGATTGTCTTGGAAGGTCATTGTGGTGTCATGTCACTCGCTGTACATGCACAGGATGGGTACTGAAAATCAATAAAATGAAAGTTCACCCGATGGCCCATAGACTCTGTGAGCTTGCTTTCTCGTCATTGAAATTCACTCTCTGATGTTTGAGTCTTCTTACTTATGCGTTGAACTTGAGTTTAAATTTAGTACGATAAGTTGTCTGAGCCTGACTGCACACTCTCTTTGCTGTGTTGTGCTGAGTGTTACAGTGAAGACAGCCGTGGGGTTGTGGAGGGATGAGTCTATACACACTACACGCAGAAACCAAATATTTCGCAGGGAAAAACACTGACCAACCAGTGACATTAAGCCATTCACCAACAGTAATGGCCAAACTGAAACAGTGATTTATAAGGTCGTCATTTTATAGGACCTATTTATGCATAGGCAAAAAGAAGAAATAAAATTAACCATCTTTCATTAATTTACTCCTACAGATAGTCACAGCACATGCTGGCTTTACATTACACCATTTTGCAGTTAGAGGTAAGCTTAGAACCTTTGGCTTGTTTCCAGAGAATGATGACTCTCAATGTTTACGAGTAGCTGATGGAGAAGATGGCATGAGAAGCTCAGCATATTTTTCAACTGTTCAAGAAGGTAGAGAGGTCACTCGGGAGGAGGAAGACGGGCCTGAGCTACAATACGTGATCGAGGCAGATGGCGAGAGACGCAGACCAGCTACTGGGAACAACAAAAATAAAGGCCTGAGACACGTCTGAGAGGAGGGCGGGAAAGCGAGACCAAATGGGAGAACCAAGCCGGCCGAGTGGGCACCAAGTGGGTGCTCCAGCCATCCACCCCAGGACAGAATGTGATGTCAAAATAGAACTTTCTTAATGTTTGAGGCAGTGCGATCACTATAGGGTTTTTTGCCCGAAGGCAAAAACATTATGATATCTAAGACAGCAAAAGACATCTGAATTTTTATTCCACTTGGTGAAGAGAAGTTCCTGTTCCAGCAGCTAACCATGTTAGCAGTCTGAGAGGCCAAGGTTCTGGTGTTTTGTTTGTTTTCAGTTTGTTTCCATTTGTCCCATGAATTTGGAATGCACCCTGTGGTTTCTGTTTTGAGATCATGAAATGACAATGGTTTGCACAGAGGGGATTGTGGTGCTCACACTGGCCTGGGAGGGGAGGGAGAAGGCCATGTCACCTCTGTCAGAGTCCGTCTGTCTTCTGGAAAGGTCATCAGAAGACAAAAGAGCACCCTGTTATAATCCCAAAGCACACCTTGGCAGCTCAGGTTTACCTGCCTGGAGTGCCCGAATCAGGATGAAAGGCAATACCCCTAAGAGTCTTAGCCAACCCCGCCAGTCTGGGAGCCTGCGGACCTTAACCTGTGATCCCACCTCTTGACAAAAGAAGAGTTTATCTGTTGATGTGT